GGTGCACAGAAGTCAAAAATTGAGGTTTGGGAACTTCTACCTAGATTTCAGAAGATGTATGGAAACACCTGGATGCCCAGGCAGAAGTTTGCTGCAGGGGTGGAGCCCTCATGGAGAACCTCTGCTAGGGCAGTGCAGAAGGGAAATGTGGGGTCAGAACCCTCACACAGAGTCCCTAATGGGGTGCTGCCTAATAGAGCTGTGAGAAGAGGGCCACAGTCCTCCAGACCCCAGAATGGTAGATCCACAAACAGCTTGCACTGTGCACCTGGAAAAGCTGTAGACACTTAATGCCCTCCTGAGAAAGCAGCTGTGAGGGAAGCTATACCCTGCAAAGCCATAGGGGTGGAGCTGCCCAACACCATGGGAACCCGCCTCTTGCATCATCATGACCTGGATATGAGACCTGGAGTCAAAGGAGATAATTTTGGAGCTTTAAAATTTGACTGCCCTGCTGGATTTCAGACTTGCATGGGCCTGGTAACCCCTTTATTTTGGCTAGTTTCTCCCATTTGGAACTGCTGTATTTAGCCAATGCCTGTACCCCCATTGTATCTAGGAAGTAACTAGCTTGCTTTTGATTTTACAGGCTCATAGGCAGAAGGGACTAGCTTTGTCTTGGATGAGACTTTGGACTGTGGAATTTTGGGTTGATGCTGAAATGGGCTAAAAGTTTGGGGGAACTGTTGGGAAGGCACGATTGGTTTTGAAATGTGAGGACGTGAGATTTGGAGGGGCCAGGGGTGGAATGATATGGTTTGTCTGTGTCCCCATTCAAATCTCAACTTGAATTGTGTCTCCCAGAATTCCCATGTGTTTTGGGAGGGACCTAGGGGGAGGTAATCGAATCATGGAGGCCAGTCTTTCCCATGCTATTCTCATGACAGAAAATAAGTCTCACGAGATCTGATGGGTTTATCAGGGGTTTCTGCTTTTGCGTCTTCTTCATTTCTCTCTTGTCGCCACCATGTAAGAAGTGCCTTTTGCCCTCCGCCATGATTATGAGACCTCCGCAGCCATGCAGAACTGTAAGTCAAACTAAATCTCCTTTTCTTCCCAGTCTTGGGTATGTCTTTATCAGCAGCGCAAAGACGGACTAATACATATTCATTAAATCATATTTGCTTACTTTTAAATTGTTGCCATAGTGGAGTAAATTTGTAAAATAATTGTTAGTGGTTATCATATATCTATATATACACAAGTTTGGCATCTGTGTAAGGTGGGACAGGAGCCAGGGTTAGGGAGGAGGCACTGTGGAATGTCAAAGTTCATGTTAATGCCTCCAAAACTGATCACACACCGTAGGATACATTTTGCATTTCTCTCTTTCCATTGTTGTAACTGTCTTTTTTTTTTTTTTTTTTGAGACAGAGTCTTACTCTGTCACCCAGGCTGGAATGCAGTGGTGCAATCTTGGCTCACTGCAACATCTGCCTCCCGGGTTCAAGAAATTCTCCTGTCTCAGCCTCCCAAGTAGCTGGAACTACAGGCATCCACCACCACACCTGGCTAAGTTTTGTATTTTTAGTAGAGATGAGTTTTTACCATGTTTACCAGGCTAGTCTCGAACTCCTGAGCTTAGGTGATTCACCTGCCTTGGCCTCCCAAAGCACTGAGATTACAGGCTTGAGCCACCACACCAGGCCATTGTTATAACTGTCTTCTGTGACAGTGAAAAAGCTGGCTCCCATATCATCATCTGTAATATATTTGGTCATTTGATCAATGCCTTGTATGTAACCAATCCCCTTATCACTGCCATTGCCCTAGGGACACCCTTGCCACCACTGTATTAGAGCCAACCTTGCTTAATCCCACCTGGTGGCTTCTAGCCTAAATTGTTTTGGAAGGAAAGGGAAGAATATATGTGAAATATTTTGATGTACAGAAGTTTTACATTTTGAAGAAAGTAAACCTATTGACCTTTCTCTTCATGTTTTGTCAATTTAGCTCGATACTTAGGTCTTTCCTACCCATCTTAGCTTGGGTCCCCCAAAGAGCAGAACCTGTGACAAAGGTCTATCTGCAGAGTTTATTTTGTGATTGGCTCCCAGGGAAGAGGAGTGGGAGGCTTGAAAGAGAGAGACAGGACATGAGGGAGGGACAACACAGGGGAAATAGGGCTCAGTCATGCTGGGGTCCTGTCAGGAACTTTGGAGAACATGCCTCAGAATTGGCTCCCTGGCAGAGGGAAGAAGATTTTTATTTCACAAGGATCAAAGGCTGCCCTGGCGGATGTGGAGTCCTTGCACTCCCAGTATTGTGTGCACAACAGAATGACAGAGTTGGTCACTGACAGCAGCTATCCCAAAGAGCTGGGCCAGAGAAGCTGGGAGCAGAGAGAGAGGGAGATGTGGCATGGCTGGGGTGGTGAAACAAAAAGAGGAGCTGAGAGGGTGCGACATGGGGCATAAAAGATGTCTGGCATACAACTTGAAGATAATGTGAATCTTACTTCATATTTCCTTTTAATACTCTATTTTTAAAATATTTAACCTATCTGGAATTTTATTTTATTTTATATTTTTGAGATGAGGTCTTGCTCTGTTGCCCAGGCTGGAGTGCTGTGGCACAATTGCAGCTTACTGCAGCCTCAAACTTCTGGGCTCAGGTGATCCTCCCACTTCAGCCTCCCCAGTAATTGGGACTACAGGCCTGTGCCACCATACCTGGGTACATTTTAAATTTTTTCTACAGACAGGATCTTGCTTTGTTGCCCAGGCTGGTCTTGAACTCCTGGCCACAGGTAATCCTCTTCCCTTGGCCTCCCAAAGTGTTGGAATTACAGGTGTGAGCCACTGTGCCTGGCCTGGAATTTATTTTAAAGTGTGGTGTGGGCTGGGTGTGGTGGCTCATGCCAGTAATCCCAGCACCTTGGGAGGTCAAGGCGGGTGGATCACAAGGTCAGGAGATCAAGACCATCCTGGCTAACACAGTGAAACCCCATCTCTACTAAAAATACAAAAAAAATTAGCGGGGCATGGTGGCAGGTGCCTGTAGTTCCAGCTACTTGGGAGGCTGAGGCAGGGGAATGGCATAAACCTGGAAGGTGGAGCTTGCAGTGAGCCAAGATCATGCCACTGCACTCCAGCCTGGGCAACAGAGTGAAACTCTGTCTCAAAAAAAAAAAAAAAAAAAAGTGGGAGGGGCCAGGCCCAGTGGCTCACGCCTGTAATCCCAGCACTTTGGGAGGCTGAGGCAGGCGGATCACAGGTCAGGAGATCAAGACCATCCTGGCTAACATGGTGAAATCCCGTCTCGACTAAAAATACAAAAAATTAGTCGGGTGTGGTGGTGGGTGCCTGTACTCCCAGCTACTTGGGAGGCTGAGGCAGGAGAATGGCGTGAACCTGGGAGGTGGAGCTTGTGGTGAGTCGAGATTGCGCCACTGTACTCCAGCCTGGACGACAGAGTGAGATTCTGTCTCAAAAAAAAAAAAAAAAAAAAATGTGGTGTGAGGTAGGGATAGAGTTTAAAGTTGCTCCCTAGTGGGTTGGTCAGTTATCCTCAAGCCATAATTCACTGAATAGTCCATATTTCCCATAATGACATGAAATTCTATCTTAAAAGTGTATTAAAGTTTAAACATATTATGTATTGAGTCTGCCTCACTGTTCCCTCTGCTAATTTTTTTTTTTTTTTGCTGGTACCACACTGTTTTAATTATTGTAGCTTTAGAATGCATTTTAAAATTTGCAGAACAAATATCCCTTTAATGATGTTCTTTTTTCAGAAAGTGAGCAGTAGAAGTTTATTTTTCTAGAGGCTCTTTTGAATTATTTTTGTGTTTTTTGTTTATTTATTTATGTATTTATTTATTTTTTACCTTCCCAGGGGGAAAGGGCCTGAGCTTGTACATTCTTCAGCTAAGTAGCAAACCTCTCTTTCACAGATGCTCAGAAGAGATAAACACATATGATATAAAGACACAGATGGTGTGTCCCCACTCACTATGCTGCCTGCCTTTTAATTTTACTCTCACTGCTGTCCTGTGACTTTAGGAAGGACAGTCATTGTGTACAGCACAAGTACAAGGCTTAGAAAAGACTTTTTTCCCCCAAAGGCACACAAATAAATATTAGAAATAGAACTGAAATGCTGTTTTGTATTCATAAGGCTTTTTAGAAAGAATGACAGTCTAGGAATTAGTTCTAAAGTCTATGCTTCTAATGGGAAATCCTTGGTCCTGATGTGTTTACATTGAAGCAACTATTCTAACTGAGTCCTATGAAAGACCTTCTTAGGAGTGGCAGGTATGAGCTATTGCAAGAAAACATAGTGTACAATCTTCTGTGAGGGTCTTTAAATAGAGAGCCCATTATAAAGACTGTGTTCCTGATGTGTGGGGCTGGTCCTCCTCCCCAGCAGACCTCACCTCCCTGCCCTTTCAGCATCCCCTCCTTGTCCCAGGCTGATGGCTGATGCTGCCATTGGTTTCTGCGGTGCTACCTGCCACTGGCCTGCTGAGACCTCAGCCCCTCACTATCTCCTTGTCCCATTTACCCTGAAGCTTGTGGCTGGTTCTGTGGTTATGACTGAGCTGACCCTTCTGACCTCCCAATCCAGACACTTCCCAACCTAGGCTGTCTCAGCTCTCCAAAAGCACCCTGTAAATAAAAATGGAAAAGAGTTCGGCTCCTTGGGTGAGGTTGTTCCTGCTCTCCCTAAGACACTGTTCTTTTCTGTAAATTTCACCTATCTGAAAAAAGCAGAATGCTCCTTGTTTCTTGGTGGGGAAAAGTAACCATAACGGAATGCCTCCTTCATGCCAGGCATTTTACAGGTCACCCCATTTAATCTTCACAACAATTCTATAGGAAGGGATGCTCGTCTCTGCTTTAGAGAGGAGGAAACTGAGGCCAGAGGGTTTATGGAACACGTGCAACGTCATGCGGAATGTTAATAGTGAAGCCAGGGCCAAAACCGAGGTCAGCCTGAGTCCAAGTCCAATTCCACAAACACGATGTTAACATCCTCCTGGGTGCCAGGCACTGTGCTTTGGGGGCATAGCTGCCTCCCTATTGTCAAGGATTTTGAGCAGATCAGATTTGAGGACCTTTTTTCAATAGGTCTATGTTTTTCTTACAACCACTCTCCATTTTAAACACATCATGAGTAGACTTTTGGAGTCTGATCTATCGAGCTGGGTGTGTTTGGAAAGCTACAGAGCAGTGGCCATAGAAAGACTGTGTGAGACAGAGTCCTAGCCTATCTGTCCGGCCAGTCGAACCTCAAGTGTTCGCTGCTTTCATTTTCTCTTGGCTGAGGAAATGATGGTTTGGTTTTGCAAAGGAAGGCTGGGGACTTCTGCCAGCTTGCTAACGGCCTTGCCCCATTCAGATGCATCGAACTCACAGAACATCGCTCCCCAGCTGCCGGCCCGCAGTTCTGAGAGTGCCTGAATAGAAAACCACTCATTTCCCTTCGCAATAGAGGCGCCCAAAGCAGATATGTCAATATATTCCAATTTAGCCGAGGGAAGCCAGAACATGGATATTGTTGCCAAGGAAACCACCTCCTTCCTCCTGTGTGCCGTGCATACGTGTATCACTTCATCTCTCTGCTCTCCAAGGTAATATCATAGCTCCGTGCTTGGGGAAGGGTTTTTAAAAAGGCATATAAAACCTCTTAGCATCGAGAAGATTCATTAAATGATCTCACTCCAGAGAAGCTTAAATTATTCTTTTTAGATCCTTTTATGCTGAGGATGGGGAAATGGCTGAGTCAGTGCTATCTCTCGCAGCCCAGCTTGGTGTCTTGGTGGAGACAGTTTTTCAGAAATAAACAAATCAGAGTTCTCAAGCTTAGACAGGGCGAGTGTGTGTGTAATAAGAACGAGGCCGTCATGTAGCTGTAATGTCACGGTCTAATCCTTCCTGGCGGATCTGCCAAGACCACCTTGATCTGAGGGCCTCCTGGGTGTGAGGCCACGTTGCACAGGGCAGCCTTCAAAGTAGAGACAAGAGAGGGTCGCTGTTGCAAGGCCACCTGTCAAAAGATTCCTTGTTCGGGAACTGTGTAGGGATTTCTGCTGCCCAATCTGTTCTCAGGCCCATGCCTGGGGCTGTTTTTGTCCTGCCTTCGTGTCTGGTCTTGGGTTTGCCTCTCTTTCCTGGATGCTGCCATCACCCCCTTCATTCCCACCTATCCTATTCTGTATGTTAAAGTCAGCACAAATCACCCTCATGCCTTACAACCCAAGAGACAAACTGCAGGGTGCACTTGGTAGTCATCTGAGAGCTCAGTGGCTTGCCCTGGCTTTCACACCTTCTTCCTCTCAGCCCCTCCTGGCTTTTAGGGCTCAGATTCCCTCCTGCCTGTTGCATATGCAGATTAAATTTGGCTTCTCTCTTTCAATTAGTGGCACTAGCCAAGGATATTGGTTTATATTAGTCATTCCCAGCTGGGGGCAGTTTTGTCCCCCAGGGGACATTTTTGCTTCTTACGTCGAGGAGGGAGTCCTACTGGCATCTAACGTGCAGAGGCCAGGGACTCTGCTGAAACAACTTACAGTGCACAGTTCAGGCCTCTAAAAACAAAGAATTATCCAGCCCCAGATGCCAATAGTGCTGTGGTTGAGAAACCCTGGCTTATACTTATTTTCTTTGCTCATTGATGTAATACATACCTATTGAGTACCTACTATACACCGGGCTCTAAGCCAGCAGCTGCGGATGTGAACTGAACAAGACAGACATAGTTTCACCCCCTTTCTCACATAGAGCCAATCGGGGGATGCAAAACAAATAATTACAATGATACAAATAAATTATTATTACAGCTGGAATCCAGATCTGACGTGGATCTCCTGCCCCAGTTCTGAAGTCTACCTGGTGCCCCAGCCGAACCTGCCCTGGCTCCTGGGTGGGGTATGGACATCTGTGGCATCCCTCCCTAACACCCCACCAAGCTGGGCTGCAAGACAGGTTATGGTGGCCCCATGACTTCGTTCCTTGGTAAGCCACAGGCCTTCCTTGTTAACTGCTTTGCTGTTGGTCATTGCAGAGAAATAGGGGACAATAAGAACAACCTGATATGTAGCAAAGGCTCTAGGACTGTGTCATCTGCTGAAGCGCCAGTCCCTGCGCTGCCTCTCCTGAGTGGCATCTGTGATGGCAAACAAAAGGCTCCTTGGGCTTCACACTCTGCTTTCTTTCCAAATGGTACTTACCACCCACTACCTCCCAGCCTTCTTCTGACCAGCTCCCTCTTCTGATAGGCTTATTTCCATGAAGTTCTTCAGAGTTAGAAGCATGAACTTTAGAACCAGGTGACCCAGGTTGGAATCCATCTCTGCCACTTACTAGCCATATGACCTTGGGTATGTTACTTAACATTTCTGTGCCTCAGTTTCTTTTTCTATAAAATGGGCGTAATAATATCTATCTAGCACAGTTACTGTAAGGATTAAGTAAGTTATTATATGCAGAGTTCTTGGTTCACAGTTAGTACCATTTAAGCCTTTCTATTATTATTACTGTTACAATTTTCCTGGCATGTCAGCCTGATGATGCAGATGAGGCAGGAACTTTCGTCTCTGCCTCTCGTGGACTGCCTGATGAGCTCCATGGAACTCAGCCATGCCTGCAGTGCTGCAGGCCTCGCTTCTGAGTGCTGGAGGCTGAGAAGACAATGGATGTTGACTGGGCATTTTGGGGGGTTTTCTTACACAGGAGGAAGATGACAATGACTGTGGAAGCAGAAGGTTGTCATGGAAATGCACCTGTTCCAAGTCGTTACACTCTGGGCTCTGGGCTGGCTCTGCATGGGCCTACCATGCACTGACTTCAGCTTCACCTGGGTCAGCGGGAGGCTGGACGAAGGTAGACATCTTTCCTCACCACCAGCCTGCCATGGTGGCTTTCTGTCGCCGGTGTGAACAGACACTCAAGCTTTCCTGGTCTCCTGAGCTACTGTGAATATGGCACAAGATAGTGGACTCTGAATAACATTGGAAACAACTGCTTCCTGGATGGCCACTGAGTGCAAGGCCTGAGGGAGGGTGAGGGCAAGAGGACTGATGGTTACTGGACATCTTCATGCCCAGGCTTCTGTGTGTCCTCTCACTTAATCCTCCAACAGCACTGTGAGGAAAATACAGCATCCCACCTCACAGGCGAGGAAGCTCAAGTTGAAGGAATGTTAAATTGTCTGCTCTGAGCCTCACAGCTGGGAGGTGACAGCCCCAGGATTGGTGGCCAGGGTTTGTCTGCCTTTAAAGCTTATGTCATGTCCTTCTGTGTTATCTCGGTCTGTACAGGGTGCTACAGCAAAATACCATAGCCTGGGTAGTTTATGAACAACAGAAATTTATTTCTCATAGTTCTGGAGCCTGGAAGTCCAAGACCAAGCCTCCCGCAGGTTCAGTGTTTGGTGAGGACCCACTTCCTTGTTCATAGATGTCCCTTTCTCGCTGTGGCCTCACAGCAAGGGGTCAGGGTTCTCTCTGGGACCTCTTTAAATAGGGTCACCAATTCCATTCATGAGGGCTGCACCCCTATGACCTAATCCCCTCCCAAAGGCCCCGCTTGACCATACCATTACGTTGGGGGTTACGATTCTGGCATGAATTTTGGGAGGGACACAGGCATTCTGACCATAGCATGTGTGTAGTTGCTCCTCCCCACCGAGGAAACCACCGCTTCCAAGCATGGCTACCATCTGGTTACCCTGGGTGGCCAAGGTCAGCAGAGGTGCTTTGCCAACTGGTTGGCACCCACACTACCTCTGTCCAGGTGGGCTGGGGCGAGGGTTGAGTCATAGTGGGACTCTGTGGGGCTCCGGGGACTGTCAGCTGACCTGGGGCCGGAGGTCCTGCTGCTCTGTGCCCATAGACACCTCCTGGGAATCTGACGACTTTCATCAGGGCCCAGAACTCACCCTGACAGTTCTTTCAGCTCTTGTCTTTTCCTCCCCTACCTACCTGCTCATCTTGCTTTCACACACAAAGCCTCCCCTGCACTCCCCATTCCCCTCCTCAATCGCTTTCCCAGCTTTTGTACTTTATGATGCCATGACTTGGGTGAGGAAACTCATTAAAGTCATTATTCCGTGCACAGAAATGTGTCTTTCATCCCATTCATATTTAATGTTCCTCCCACTTGATCTTTTGACACTTTTTAATTCCTGATATTACGTGACATACACACACAGCTCTCGTTGGGAATCATTCTTTCTATAGAGTTGTCATCACTGTTCTCTGTGTGAGGAGGGCTCCTCCTTACGTATTTATTAATTTCTAAAATGATGCCTGTATTTTGGGATTGATGCTGTCTGATGCTATTGACTATGAATGATCAAGGGTGACATTGGGATAGCAGGAATTATGGGAACAGGACAGAGGTCTGGATTCTTGTCCCGACTGCCTCTTTTCCTCCCTGGAGGCCGTGTGTCCATCTGTGAAATGGGCAGATCCATGTCTCATGACCTAATCCAATCCCTGCATTTGGCATCCGCTGGGCTTTTCTGGGGTGTAAACACCTGGTTTCAATTCTGTCTAATTTGCTATCAAAAGGAATATTTTAGGAGGAGATGGGGCTGCCCATAGAATCACAGAAAAGGCTGAGAAATTGGCTGTCCGAGGGACAGATAACTGGGCAACTGCAGGGACCTGGAAGCGGGCTCCCTTCCGGCTCTGTGGTGAAAGGAAGGAGACCTAAAGGCTATCAATGGCTCTTTTCTCAGCTCAAGATTTAAATTGCAGTAAGTGAACATAGAATTGGCTCAGCTTGGGTCCCATGCCCAAGGAGAGGGCGGGGTGTTTTGATTGACAGTTATATTGAGATCTTATCCAATGAGGGCCAGGAGTTCCCCCACGGTTAAGAGGTTGTTTTCAGAAGAATGATGGATTCTGAGTAGAGGAAACAACAACAGCTGTCATTTCATAGAGGAGAAGTTCCCTCTCAGCTTTAGCAATCCAGGTAAGACAGTGGTTCTCTGACGTGGCTGTACATCAGCAGATCCCAAGGAGACTGTTGAGAATACAGTTGCCTGGGGCCCACCCTAGCCTTGTCAAATCGCAATTTCCAAGGATGGGCCCGAGGATCTGTATTTTTAACAGTTATCCCTAGTTAGTTCTGAACTACACAGTATTGTGAACTGGTCTTCTAAGACCCAGTAGAGCAGGTAAGACCATTTTCTGTGAAATGTGGATGTAGTAGAGAAACTGGGGAGGGCTTAGGAACTGAGAGGAGAGGAAGGCTCACCAGGGTTGGGGAACAGTGTGTGTGTAGGGCAGGCTTCCTGGAGGGGCCCATGCTGGCCCTAGATGGGAAGTGGAGCTGTCCCAGCACTAACCTAGCTTTTCCTAGCTCTCATCTCATTCTCCATCCTGTGGTCTGCTATTCACAAGCCAAAGGGGAATTGATGGAAAATCCAGGTGTGCAGTCTGAGCCATGCGGTTCCTTGCTGTGAGGCAGTGAGGTCTCAGAAAGTTTTCTGTTTTCATTATTCTGAAAAGGCTGCACCCATAACCCAGCCCTATTTCTCTGGTTTTCCTCCATGGCATTTCTTTCCCCTTGTCATCGTTCTTCTTCCTCCCCTACAGACCTGCTTTATCAGAAACTTCCTTTCTCCTTTGCCCCAAATGACCCCCACCTGTGCCTCTTTCTGATACTGACCTTATTCTGGCAAACCAGCTCCTTCTTGCTGTAATTTTTAATGGGACTAAGATTGCTGGGAGAAGCCCTCTCCCATCTTTTTCAGCTTTCCATGTTTTCTTCCTTAACAAACACTCCACCCATAAAATCTTTGGGGTCTTTTCTACTGAGAGGTGAAGCCTGTAGGTGCTAGCAGAGCAGCCTCACTGTAAAGAGGGAGGTGGGTTCCTAGGGTGCGGTCCTGGGCCCAGAGGGTTTCTGACTATCATCTCTCTCGCCTTGGACCTAGACAGGGCTCTTTGCTTGTTACAATAGTAGGCATCCATTGCCTGCCCAACATTCACCTCCCTTTTCTGGCAGCAGAACACCTTTTTCCTCGGGAATTTACTCTAGCCCCACTCTGAGTCCAGGTGCATTGGGTGGATTAACTCCAGGGTGGACATGGACCCAGGCCTGGCAAATCAGTGCATCGGATTTCCCTTGGCCACAGTAATTGGTTCAGGGATTGGTCTATGGGCAAAGTCCATTCTGGGTCTACTGTGGGGTTGTACAGAGGAAAGAACTCTCTTTCTGGACTTGCTGTCAAGCTGGAGTTTCTGGAGTGCAAGTGGGGAGAGTGTGCTGAGAGCGAGTATAGTACAGAGGGAAAACAAAGCTAAGAAGTATACCAGAGAGAGGATCAAAGAGTGAGAGAGAGAAAACAGGTCCAGAGGATTGGGTCTGAGCCTCTGGATCCAGCCGGACCTGAAACTGGAAGACCTACATGGAGACTTTTCTACTATATGAAATCTTCCATTCTCTTTCTGGATTAAGCCAGCTTAAGCTGCAAGTCAGAGTCTTGAATGATAGTTGACATGATGCTGGCAAGGTGAGTCCCTCCACAGGGATGCCTGAGCCACAGAGAGACTGCCATAGTCAGCTGTGAGCTCTTTCTTGTCCTATCAGCACAGCCCAGAAGAGTTCTCAGCAGAAACAGGTACACAACAGTCATAAACTGACAGGGTTAATCATAGGCCCGTTGTGCTCTGAAAGCTTTGTCAGAACAGGCACACATCATTTGTCCCCTTCCACACCCCGCTAGCAGTCCCAGCATGGTCCGCAGTGAATGTGCTGATTGTCCGGTTGATTGAGGGGCAGCACAGCCTTCCTCACCACTCACCAACTGCCTGCACACTCTCCTGCCATCCCAGTCTTGTCAGTATCACTCCACCGACCCAGTTTCCAAGCTGGAAGCCGTCATCCTCCCTCTCTTTGATGTGATCCAGCCTCTTACTGCTTTTCCATCTCCACCACCACCTGCTTAGCTCAGACCTCAACCTTTCTTAGGAGGAAGCCATTTGGCTCTGGAACTGACACCTACCCAGGGTGGCCTCTGTTCCTTACCTGTGAAATGGGGATGGAGCACTACACTTGGAATGTGAAATGTCTCCAAGAATTTGGATGTCAGGGGAATATAATGGCTCCTTGAGTCCTCAACTAAGACGTTAACCCATCAAAAGGAGCAGAAGACACAAAGTCACCTACAAGGGGCAGTGGCCCAGAAAGCTTAGACATCACTCCTGAATGTACATGAAGGCCATGTCCATCAGAAGGGAGCCTTGGCAGCCAATAGGAGCACAGAAAATGGTGTGGCCCAGAGGCATGCTTTCCTGTGGAATGTCTGGACTGCCTTATGGGCTTCTGTCAGTTGTGAACAAGAACATGCTAGAGCCTGATGCCACTGGCTCCTCCAGCAATATCTGAAAGCATTGGCTTCCTGTGTTTGCTAGCCAATGGGGAGAGAATGTGCTGGTCAGGCAGTGCAACCGTTTGCAATGAGTAAGCTGGCATTTGGGCTTTGTTCATTGTCCTTGTGAGCTATGAGTCAGCATCTTGGAGCCTGTCAAGTCTGGTCACCAATGACACTGCGTTTCTGGTTTGCGGGGCGTGGTCAGGCCTTGACCCCAGGTTCTCAAGGTCATGAGTGTATCAGTGTAGTCTAAGGGCCCTAACCCCCAAGATTCTGATTGATGAGGTCAGGTGGGACCAGGCCCTTCTACTGAATAGCTCCTCAGGGAGGCCTGGTGCACAGCCAGACTGAGACTCAGGGCCTGCACAAGGCTACCGCACCTTCCCGGCTGCCTGTGGGCCCCCTTGTCTGCCTCCTTTGAGCCTCTTCGCTGTGTGTTGCCGATTGACTTTTGTGTTCACTTGAGTAATTTACAGGGAGCCCGCTTTAATTCTCCTGAGACCCCCTGTAGGCTTTCATGAAATTAAACCCTCAACAATGGCATTAGAGAAGGAAAAAGGGTCTCTTTATTTGGAAGTTGTGAACAAAAAGAGAACAGAACTGCTGGCCGTTGTTCTTCCTCTGAATCTTCAGCTTCTGGCTCCATAGTTGGATCTTGTGCCACTGGGGCTTTGCTTCCAGGACAGGGTGACTTAGGGTGGATGCAATTGTCACGACCTTCTGGGGGCTAGGATTTGGCCGGAATGACCACCATTCCAGTTACTTGGCTTTTTGCTACTGGAAAGGCAGTGAGTTGGCTCTCTAAGGGTTTCTAAATGACCAAGGCTGGGCACAGAAGCAGCGCCCCAAAATCCTCTGCACCAAGGTTGGGGATGAATCCTCCTCTGATCCTTCTCCCAAGACTTCTGGATCAAGAGTGGGTTTCATTCATTTGGTCCCTCCGAGGAGACAAGTGGAGAAAGGAAGTTCTATTTACTACAGGGTCTATGACTTTATGTGACGTAGAAGGGTGGTATGGTAATTGTAGAAAGAGAACATCACTCTGGCTAGGCTCTGTTGACCTGGACAAAATCATCTCTAATCCGTGACACATCCTGAGCCAAAGTATATTCACTGTTGGAATTGGGGACATCATTTGCATGGCCTCACTTCTGTTGCTTGTTTAGCTCTCTACATCTCTGCTATCACCTTCACCTCATTGACTCTTTGCAGTTAACTTTTCTTCCTGCTTTGCAGAGAAAATAGAAGATGTTAGATGGGGACACCAACTTCTCACTACAAAAACTCTAAACATTAAAAAATCGTCTACCTCCTTGTCCTGGTTTCACGGGCCTCTGACTGACCAAGGCTAACGGAATCACGTGCTCCTTAAGGGTCTAAAGGGTCACACTCATTGCTCTATTTTCAAAGCCATTCCCATCAGGATTTAGGTATGTCTGCATCTTGTCCACATTTACGATGGAGTTCTTTCTTCCCCTTCCTTTGCAGCTCACCCACTAGCTTCTGCCTTATCACTCTTTTCTCAACTCGCAGTTAAACTTATTGAGATAATGAGCTATACTCTCCTCCCACACAGTCCCATATCCATTTCAACAGGGTTTCCACCTATATTCCTCCCAAATTGGTCTGACCATGTCACTAGTGCCCTCCACGTTCCCACACCCAGGGATACTTCAGTCCTTACTTTACTTAAACTTGCAGAAACGTTTGACACCCTCAACAGTTCCCTCCTGCAAAACCTCTTTCCTTGGTTTTCATGACACTGAATTATCCTGATTTTCTTATCCCTCCTCTTCCCTTTCAGACTGGGAATATTCTCCCTCCA